GGGGAGTTCTGAAATGACATTTTAATACCCTCCCCACAAAAGTAGAGACATTCAACAGCACATCATAGGCCTTAGAAGGGGTCCTCTAAGCTGGGACCATCCTTTGCAAAGAGGGCCTGTACTTAACTACTTTTGCTATATGCTGAGTATGCACCCATGAGTCACTAAAACGAATCAATTGCGCTGGGTGCAGTGGCTCACACCTGTCATCCCAAAGCTGTGGGAGGCTAGGGTGAGAAAATCGCTTGAGGCCAGGAGTTTAACATTTGCCTGGGCAACAGAGCTAGAACCCATCTCCACAAAAAAACAAAAACAAAAACAAAAAGCTAAGCTGAGTGCAGTGATCTGCGCCTGTAGTCCCAGCTACTAGCTGAGGTGGGCGACAGCTTGAGCCCAGGAGTCTGAGGTTCAGTGAGCTATGATCACATCACTGCACTCAGCCTAGGTGACAGAGCAAGACCCTGTCTCTTAACAAAATCACTCAATCTACCTACCTACCTATATATAATCATTAAAAGCAAAGAGAAAAGACCAGTGTACTGCACCAATGCACGTAATTTAAGCAAGGAAAAAGAAAAGTGAAGCATATTACCAGATATTTCCAAAAATTTTGGCATGAAGGAAGAAATTCATGACACCAAAACCACAAAATTTAGGTCCTCTTAGCTATCTGCATCAACCACGACACTTTCAGTTTTCTCTTCACTGGTATCGCTAAATGGCACATTGACTTAATATATACTTAATTTTGTTTTCAGCAACTAGTAGCTTTAGATAAATTTCTACTTGGCAGCAAGCATCACTTGCTTTTTTTTTTTTTGAGTCGGAGTCTTGCTCTGTTGCCCAGGCTGGATTGCAATGGTGCGATTTTGGCTCACTGCAACCTCTGCCTCCTGGGTTCAAGCAATTCTCCTGCCTCAGCCTCCCAAGTAGCTGGGACTACAGGCGCCCGCCACCACACCAAGCTAATTTTTGTATTTTTGGTAGAGACAGGGTTTCACCATATTGGCCAGGCTGGTCTCTTGGCCAAGCTCATCTTGAACTCCTGATCTTGTGATCTGCTCACTTTGGCCTCCCAAAGTGTTGGGATTACAGGTGTGAGCCATTGTGCTTGGCCCATATTTTCTAGTTATGTCAATGGTTACAAATCCATTTGAATAAAATTAAATGGCTGTGAAACATAATATAAAAAACAGCATAAAATCATTTTAGTAAAAGAAATTTATTTTTTCAGTTGTTCTGGTGATTATTTTTAATTGTGTGTGGGTATATATATACACACACACACACATACATACACACACACACACACACACACATATTTTTAGACAGAGTCTCGCTCTGTCTCCCAGGCTGGAGTACAGTGGTACAATCTCAGGTCACTGCAACCTTGGCCTCTCGAGTTCAAGCAATTCTCCTGCCTAAGCCTCCTGAGTAGCTGGGACTACAGACATGCGCCTCCATGCTCAGGTAATTTTTGTATTTTTAGTAGAGACAGGGTTTTACCACGTTGGTGAGGCTCATCTTGACTCCTGACCTCAAGTGATCTACCTGCATCAGCCTCCCAAAGTGCTGGGATTAGGTATGAGCCACTGCACCCGGCCTAATTGTATATATTTAAGTTGCACAACTTAATGATTTTATGTGTGTATACACACACACACACACAAACATATGTGAAATAATCACTACAGTCAACCTAATTAACACATCCATTACCTCACTTGGTTACCTTTTTTTTGGGTGGTGAGAACACTTAGGACCGACCCTCTTAGCAAATTTCTTTTTTTTTTTAAATTTTTTGAGACGGAGTCTCGCTCTGTCGCCCAGGCTGGAGTGCAGTGGCTGGATCTCAGCTCACTGCAAGCTCCGCCTCCCGGGTTCACGCCATTCTCCTGCCTCAGCCTCCCGAGTAGCTGGGACTACAGGCGCCCGCCACCGCGCCCGGCTAGTTTTTTTTTTTTGTATGTTTTAGTAGAGACGGGGTTTCACCGTGTTAACCAGGATGGTCTTGATCTCCTGACCTCGTGATCCGCCCGTCTCGGCCTCCCAAAGTGCTGGGATTACAGGCTTGAGCCACCGCGCCCGGCCAAATTTCAAGTACAGTACTATTACCTACAGTCGCCATGCTTATATATCAGAGGTCCAGAACTCACTCATCTTGTATCATGGAAACTTTGTATCTCCTCACTTCCCCATCCTCCTAATCCCTGGTAACCACCATTCTTCTCTGGATGACTTCGACTACTTTAGATTTCACATAAAAATGTGACCATACAATTTTTGTCTTTCTGTGTCTGGCTTTTTTCAATGAGCACAATGCACTCCAGGACCATCCATGTTGTCAAAAATTAAAAGAAATTTAAAAGAACATCAATTATTTATGTTGCCCCACATTCAAGTGGTAAGAAACAGACATACCTGCGTTTACTGGGAATCACTCCAACCTCATCACTCTCACCGTCTGGTGTAACCTGCCTGGCTTGCCACCATTCATCATCAGAAGCATTAATAACATGGAGGATATCTCCAAATTTGAAGTTCAATCCCTGACTGGGAAGGCCACTGTCTTTAGTCTTGTCATAATCAAAAAGGGCTCTAGAGTCAGAAGAAAAAAAGTCCATAATTACTTGTTATAATGATATTAATCAACTTTTCATGGGGTTCTGAAAGTATATTTAATTTGGATAATTAAATATATCGTAGTAGGCCAAATAACACCCAGTTCAATTCAGCACTACAGATGAGACAAAAAAGAAATAGTAAAATCAACTTGTTATGAAAATACTGTATTGTATTATCTGTGTCTTTCAATATCACAAGAAAAATTCTAAAAACGCTCTTGGCTTGTAATCCAATGGCAAGCTGTATTGAATTCTAAAATAAAGACCAATCCAGAGAGTTTGAAATTAATAAACAAAAATTATTAAGATACATTCTTCTCTTTACTTTCATTAGATACATGTAGGAAAACAAATTCCCTGATAAATTAGATTTATTAGTTGTGGACTGTAAGACTAGATCAACATAGTGATTATTCTGCCAGTTAATTACTCCTTCCATTTGTTCACAATACTAGAGTTGATAGGGTTTTCAGAGTCAGTAACAATATGAACATTAATTACAGATGACTTCATCAGCTGCCAAATACTTTGGAAAAAGTAATAATTTAATACGGTAATTGCAAAGTTAAGAATATTTTAAAATTTGATAAAAAGAAAATATTGTGTCCTACCACTTGATTATGTACAATATTTAGATAAATCAAATTCTTAAGTCCAAATAAGCTCTCTCAAGAGTGTAAGAAAGAAAGGATCACAGCAATTACATTTATAACATAGTTTATTCATTCTTTTGTTCTAATTTGGCAACTGGAAATTAGGATGAAAATCATAATCTTTTTCACACTAGCCAACATTTAAGAACCTATCTCTTCAAGTAAAACTCAAGAGGGGTGGAATTACTTGACAGCGAAAAAAATAAACTAGTAGTTAATGGTTTTTCAAATGAGTTCTTTCAAGTCTTTTCGTGGGGCTAAAGGTGTTAGGGAAGCAGGGGGAATCGTAAGTAGGAAGGCTCACTTAAACACACTTTCAAACACAGAGAAGATGAGGGGACAAATAAGCATAATATAAAATAGAAAATAAAGTGCCTTAAGAGGTAATACAAATGTCAAGACATTCAGAAAAGGAAAATATTAACTTCCTACATTATTATAAAAATTCACCTTTTGAATCACAAAATCTAACTGTATTATTGAACAAAGGAAAAGAAATCACCCACAATCTCTACTTATGTTAGCAGTTTAACATTCTCTTTTAATATATTTGATTCATAAAAAAAGAAGCCCATGGAATACATGTGAGTTATTAATCATAAGAGTGCAATGAACATCTGTTCACCTACTATCCAACCTAAGACTACACACGAAACCTTCATCAGTAATTCACATTCACCTGCACATATTCCCTCTGTCCTGATTCCCCTGGAGCAAGAGTTCCCCACTATTAGATTTAACTATCATTCTTCATATGTTTGTTTCTTTGACTCACTCTTTTTTGGTTGGTTTGATCATATAACACGTGAGTGACTAAACAATATAATGTATGTTTTGCTTGTTTCAGAGCTTTATAAAGAGGTTACTGTAGGTAGTTTTTTGTAGCCTTTTTTTTTTTTTTTTTTTTTTTTTTTGTTTTTTTTTGTAATGTTGTCTGGTGTGGTCTCGCCGGATCTCAGCTCATGGCAACAGAGCTTTCAGTCCCTTGCCTTCATTAAAGAAAAACTCTATGCTCAACTTTAAATTTTTTTTTTTTTTTTGGCTTTTCAAATTAAAAATACATTGACTAAAAAACCCCACAAGACTCAGGTGTGGTGGTGTGTGCCTGCAGTCCCAGCAACTTGTGACGCTAAGGTGTGAGGATCCCTTAAGCCCAGGAGTCCAAGATAAGCTTGGCCAACAGAGCAAGACCCCATCTCAAAAAGAACCACAAGGCTTCTGATTAACTACAGCAGACTGCGTCTATTTCTTCTCCATCCTGACTCATTAAAATGACAATAAAATAAGAAAAATACGAGAGAGAGAAGAAAACAGGGGAAGAGAGATTTTAACACATTTTTGGATGATGCTAATTAAATTTAGCAGAATGAAAGAAGCTATAAATGGAGTGTCAGCAGACAGGGTTATAGAAACAAGTTTTATTCCACAAGAATTCTGGAGATGGTCATAAATTAGAAGTGTACAGTAGTACCAAGGTAGGCAGGGATAAGTTACTGTACTAAAAACAGAAGGTAGAAACACTGTATGTAGCACTTACACCACCCCCACCAAAGTTCCTTTTCCCCAAACCCACAGAAGACTAGAGGTTGAGTCTCCAGAGAAACTGAATTTGAGGAGCTGTATACTCTGAAACTTGGTGGAGAAGGGGAAGATGGCTGGACTGAAATGGATGAAAATGAAATTCTAGCAACTTGGTTTACACTATTGGCAGGAGACAGGGATTCTTCTCTAGAGATATTTAATTATACCAAAGAACAGAATGACGTGGGACAGCAGAGGAAATGTAAGAGCCAATTTATTCCTCCCTTTACACCATTGTCTTCTAGTTAAATCCATTATCTTCATTTCTCTATTCATAAGAATGGAAAACAATGAAAGGAACACTGGCTATTTAAAGAATGCCTTATATAAAACACTACAGAAAAAAACCCCAAGAAAATAGGCTAGAAAAAAGGAATAGAGAGAAAGCAAAGAATACAAAAAGCCGAAGAAAATCTCAGACACATGAGATTATGTCCACGAAAGAAATGGAAGATGAGTGAGCTCCTGGAAAATAAAACAGGGTATCATTCCCTCCCCTAACATTCCAAATTCTCTATTGGGGAGAAGGCAAGATAAGGTCATTTCGGACATGCTAAGACTCAAAAGGTACCTCCCACACATCTTTTCGCAGGAATTTACTGGACGACGTGCTCTAGGAAGATTAATTCAGAAAGAAGAAAACGTGGCATCTAGGAAACGTGACATCGTAGACAGTCAAAGGGAACAGAATAATGGCAAAGGGAAGTCCCAGCTGAGAGCTATACAGTAAGTTTACAGAGGAATTAGTCTAGACTGGAGTATAAAGATGGGAAAAACCTGAACTATCAGACCGTATGTGTGACTATGTTTTCGTAATGTGAAAAGCTCTACAGTGGTTACTGGAAGATACAGAAAGATAGTTAGTAATAAGTATATGAAAAATTGATCAAATAAAATGCAAGACAATTATTAAGCCCAGGAAAAATGAAGGGGTGCAGAAGAAAGGAGGCAGCTCATAGGGTTCCACTTGACTGAGTCATGACAGCTATTACATAGTCACATGACTCTAAATGCTATTAGTTTTATTAACAGAGATAGCTATGTTTGGGTGATGGTGATGAGACTGAATGAGTGGTTTGGTACTACGGAGAAAAGTTCTCATCTACCATGATTTTAAGACTAACGTACAAAACTGGTAAAATAGAAGATAGCAGTATATGTATGTTATTGAGAAATATAGACATGAAGGCTTCATATTTAGAAGTAAGGAGATGAAGGAAGTTTGCTAGGAAAATGGAGGATGCTTGTTCCTGGAGAATGAAACTAGGGGTTGGTGCAAGTGACAGTTATTTTTCATTATAAGTCTTTTGATAATATGATTTTAAAAAACAGAAGCTGGGTACAGTGGCTCATGCCTGTAATCCCAGCACTTTGGGAGGCCAAGGTGGGTGAGGCCCTTGAGTTCAGGAGTTCGAGACCAGCCTGGCCAACATGGTGAAATCCTATCTCTACTAAAAACACAAAAATTAGCTGGGTACGGTGGCACGTGCCTACAGTCCCAGCTACTTGGGGGGCTGAGGCAGGAGGATCGCTTGAACCCGGGAGGTTGAGGCTACAGTGAGCTGAGATTGTGCCACTGCACTCCAGCCTGGGTGACAAAGTGAGACCCTGTCTTAAAAAAGAAAGAAAGAAAAGAGAGCATTCCTTCTCTAAAAATAATAAAAAGTGAAGATGACTCACTAAATGTACCGAAAATAAATATAACCTATTATGTCGTGATTTTTATGCCTTTGTAAATATTTAATCAAGTACAAACAAAAGGCAACACCTATTAATTATACTAAAATTAGGAAATGTAGATAAGCAAAAAAAAGAAAAAGAAAATGTAAAAAAGAGAGTAGAAAAATCCATGTTCTATTTTCGATGTATCTGTATATATAATATACTTTTAATAAATTTGGAACACAAGAGTTTAATGAGTATTGTTAGAATTGGCAAAGGGAGAAAAAAATCTGATGATTTAAGATTCCCACATCATTGGTAGGGTTATAAGTAGCAAAGAACTTACAGCAAAAGACAAAACAAATAGAAAGAAGAAAGTGAGAAAAGTTTCCTTTCATGATGTATCAGAGTAAGATTATGTGAAGACAGTAAGTCATATCATATGTAAACAAGCACAGAGTACCTGTTTGTGTGTATAGATATACATGTGTATAGGATACAGGTTTACATATGTAACATCTCTCTCTCATCAGAAGGACAAATGAAACATATTAGGAATGGGTCCCCCAACAGAATCAGGAGGACTGAGATGATCGTTTATAAAGAATGGTTCAATTACTTACAGTGCTAATGTTACAATAACGTATAATAAAGTCATCAGTTAAAGTTCTACCAGAAGTATACAGAATACAAATAAATTCGGATTTCTGTTTTAAGTCTTATAAGCCAACGAAATGAAAAAAAAAAACCCCCCAGTTTATATACTAATATCACCTATTTATTAGACCTATGTTGCCATTTAACCTTTATATTATAGGAAAATAACATATTTGCCTTCTCCCAAGTGTTTAAAAAAAATGCATGTAGAAATTTTCTGAATATGTATTATTTACTGAGGCTATTCACATTTTAAATTATAATTTACATATGCTTCCTTTGCTACTATGGAAATTGCCAAGGTAATTAAATGTTACTTGAACGGAAAATATATTAGAAAAGGATATAGGTTAAATCTAAGTGTTAGATATGATATTATCAATCTTGTGGCCGCTACTAACACATCAATCTGAAAACAATTTCTGGTCCACAGAACTTTTTCCTTTATCATATCATTATTACTCAAGGATAACATAACTTTCATTAAAAAAAGTATTAATTCAACAATATTCCAATTCTTGAAAGACACACTGTCAGAGAATCAATAATAAAAAACAACACTGATTTGCAATATATTTTCTTATGGTAAAACTAAATAAGTTATAGTGAAAAATACAAAACAATTTACATTCATAACTAACTAAGAGTTGCCATAATTAGAAGTAAAAAAATTTACCTGACATAGAGGGATCGCTTCTGGCTAGTTCGAAGAGAACCTGACCCTGAACTAATACTACTATTCATCATCTGCTCCCGTAAATCATGTATTTTAGCTTCAAAACGACTGTATTCTGATGGAAGAAAAAGAGAAATAAATTGATGTATTTTCAAAAAATAAGTTATTTGAAGATAACATGTTATATAGGTAAACTGTCCTATAACTGATTAAATGTGGTTAGAACCTTAAAATAGTAATATGCATAAGATTTTGCCCAACACACAAATTTCAAAAAAAAATTATTAATAACCTAAATGTACCATAATTTAGAATTGGCTGAGTTAGAATTTTTCTACATGCTCTTTTAAAGTTTATACCACATTTAGTCAATTAAATGACAATTTCCACGCAGCAGACAGCAGTAATCTTATTACTGTTGAATTTAAGTGTAAATTTTAAAAATCAGGATTTATTCTAATTTTTATATTAAGGAAGAAACCTATAATAATAATTAATACACTAGAAGCTTTGATTATTGACTTTTTCCCCTTGAGACGATCAGTTCATTTTACATACTTCAATATGGAACTTGTGCAGGGTCAACACTAAAGGGAAAAATATGCCTTAAACAAGTGATAAAATTTATTTTAACTCATTTTATAATTTATAAATTGTCAAAATTCAAAAGACACAAAAGCAATCTGAAGTAACATTCACGAATATTTTTATTAAAAATATTTTTATACCAAAATATGATTTTGAAAATGAACTATTTAAAGCTACATATTAAAAACTACTAAATCTATTAATAACAAAAGTTTAAGCACTTTTTCAAAAATACTGCAGTTACATGGTTATAAACACGTATCTTTTTTTCCCCTCTATTTACAACAAACAAATTGCAGACAACTAGGTCATTTCCAATTTGAGTTTCAAGCCTGTCTTACAGCAAACAACTTCTCTGGGAGTTTGTATAGGTTAAGATGACAGAGCAAGAGTAAGCATGTTTATCATTGAGTTAGTCTTCCTTTCACCATCATCATCAACTTTATTTTATGGATAATAAGCTCAATTGAAGCAATAATTCATCAAAAAGCTTAGAAACATTTAAAGTTCCACATTAATATCTAACAAAATATTTTACTATCCTTTCAAAATTATAATAAAACACTTAAAAAAAACATAAATAGCCTTAATAGAATGTATCCATCATAAATAAATAATTATCAATCCATGGCAAGTTGTCTTTAGTACATGTAGACACAGCTAAACCACAGATTGATGAATGGAGATAATAAAAATATATCATGAGTTTATACTGGTTTTTCTAATGAAAAATTAGGACCACTGGGTTTATACTCAATCTCTTCTATTTTAGCGTTGTATCTGCTTTCTTGGATATGAGTAATTCTGGTTCTCAAGATAGTGGAGACAGCAGAACAAAAGTACCGGCATAATGACTTACTTGTTTTATCCAATATGACATTTACAACAGTGAATTACACCACCAACACTACTACCATGATATGATTACCGTAAACAGTTAACTATTTCCTGTAGCTTTTAATCCTTAGGCCATAGCTAGAGATGTATGGTTGAATTATTGTTTTCTTTTTTTATTTTCAGAGACAGGGTCCCGCTCTGTTGCCCAGGCTGGACTGCAGTGGTACAATCACAGTTCACTGCAGCCTTGAGCTCCTGGGCTCAAGCAATCCTGCCTCAGCCTTCCGAGTGGCTGAGACCATAGTGCGCACCAACATGCTTGGCTAACTTTTTAAAAATTATTTTTGGTAGAGATGGCATCTTGCTATGCTGTCCAGGCTGCTCTTGAACTCCTGGCCTCAAGCAATCCTCTCGCTCTGGCCTCTCACAGCTCTGGGATCACAGGTGCGAGCCTCTGTACCTGGCCAATTACCATTTCAAAATTACTTGGAATAGTTCCTCCCTGAGTATTACTGTTGCCAAGTGGACACACATTTAGATTCATTTGTACTTTATTTTCAACTTCAATTTGCCTTTTAAAATTTTCATTGTTTTTTTTTTTTGAGACGGAGTCTCGCTCTGTCGCCCAGGCTGGAGTGCGGTGGCTGGATCTCGGCTCACTGCAAGCTCCGCCTCCCGGGTTCACGCCATTCTCCTGCCTCAGCCTCCCGAGTAGCTGGGACTACAGGCGCCGCCACCTCGCCCGGCTAATTTTTTGTATTTTTTTTTAGTAGAGACGGGGTTTCACCTTGTTAGCCAAGGATGGTCTTGATCCCCTGACCTCGTGATCCGCCCGTCTCGGCCTCCCAAAGTGCTGGGATTACAGGCTTGAGCCACCGCGCCCGGCCTATTGATTTTGTAAGTAGGTAAAATAACTCCACACTCAAATCTATAAAACATAGGTATTTAAAAGTCCAGTTTCTATCCCTTTTTCTCATCCTATTCTGTCCTGATCCTTATATGTAAACATGTAAACAATATAAAGATACACACAAACATGCAAATACATTTACATTTATTCCATATTTTTATATCTGTATATATGTGTGTATATATACACACAAACATACATTTCTCTTTTTTCTTTTTCAGAGGGAGTCTCGCTCTGTCTCCAAGTTGCAGTGCAGTGGCGCGATCTCGGCTCACTGCAACCTCTGCCTTCCCGGTTCAAGCGATTCTTCTGCCTCAGCCTCCCGAGGAGCTGGGACTATAGACACACATCACCACGCCCGGCTAATTTTTGTATTTTTAGTAGAGACGGGGTTTCAGCATGTCGGCCAGGATGGTCTCGAACTCCTGACCTCGTGATCCGCCTGCCTTGGCCTCCCAAAGTGCTGAGATTACCCACTGCGCCCAGCCAACATTTCTCTTCTTTCCTCAACAGTAGAATACACATTTCTCTGCTTTGCTTTTTTCATTTAATAGTAAGTATATCCAGGGCCGGGCGCAGTGGCTCAAGCCTGTAATCCCAGCACTTTGGGAGGCCGAGATGGGCGGATCACGAGGTCAGGAGATCGAGACCATTCGCTGGCTTAAATACGCGGGTGAAAACACGTCTTTCTACTTAAAAAAAATGCAAGAAAAACAGCCGGCGAGGTGGGTGGGCGCCTGTAGTCCCAGCCTATCGGCGAGCTGAGGCGAGGAGAATGCAGAAAACCGGAGGCGGCGGAGCTTGCAGTGAGCTGAGAATCCGGGCCCACTGCACTCCAGGCCTGGCGCGGACAGAGGCGAAGGACTCAGGTCTCAAAAAAAAAAAAAAGTTAAGTATATCCAGGAAGATAACTGCCACAGATATATAAAAGATGATCATCCATTCTTTTTTTTTTTTTTTAATAAAGCGTATATGCAGTCCTTTGTTTTTAACCTTTACTTCTTTGTTGTACGTATGACTCTTATATACTTCACAGGGTTAAATTCTGCTTTATTAGCAAGCCTGAAAATTGTCTGTTTTCATGAATTAACTTTTGATGTGACAGAAATTGTTTGTTCTCAGTTCTATTCTTATCATCCCGTCTTATTTATTCAAGCTTTTAACATAAATAAACCAGTAGCAGATTGTATTTTCCAAAGATGCCCGCATCCCATGCTCTTGTACACTGTGACCTTGCCATTTCCCCATCGAGAGGCGGAATCTAATTCCCCTCTCCTGGAATCTGGGCTAGTGCTTTGGGTCATTTGTATGACAAAAAATGTGAAAGTAATCCCGTGTGACTTTCAAGGTTGGATCAGAAGAGGCCATAAAGCTTTTGCCTGGTTCTTCTGTAATGCTCATTCAGTGGAAGCCAGGTACCACGTAACAAGACTGTTCTAAAACCACCACACTGCAGAGGTCACATGATGGTACTCCGAGCCCAAACTTCCAGCCAGCACCACCAACGCATAAGACAAGGGGAGCAAAGCCAAACTGGGCCCTCCAAAGCAGCTCATTCGCCACCCAAGTCCCACTAAGTGACCTCAGTTGATGCCAGAAGGAAAACAAGAACCATCCAGCCAGAATCCTGCCTGAATTCCTAACCTACAAAATCTATTAAAAGGCTGTTTTAATCTATTAAGCTTGGGATAGTATCTTATGAAGCAACAGTAACCGGAGCACAGTCTCACTATATGGTTTGTTCTTTTAAGTGTGTGTGTAAAAATTCAGACTCACTTGTCCTTCTGTTCTAATGGCAAGCTTTGGTTTGGCTTTTGTCTTTTGGTCTCCTCCTACAAGCAATCTTCCCAGATCTGATTGCAAATACTATACTTTTATATCCAGTTAAATACTTTAAAACAATTAGGAAGCTTATTCTGTTTTCATATTATCTGCAAATTCTTCCCTCATTTTGTAATAACTGTACCTTATCAAAATTGTCAGAGTATATAGCTTTTTCATATTATACACCCTCTTCCTTATAATCATCTTCATTAATGCTAACACCAGTCCTTATGTCAGTATCCCTCCTCCTATCATTTTGGATGTCTGAAGATTGTTCTCTCTCCCCAGGAAGTGTTTATACGAACACTATAACTCTAATTATTTGTTGATACATTTGATTCCAGTCTTTATATGTGAAAGTCTGTTTGATTCAGCTTCTTTCTTTATTGAGTATATTCACTCCACTGTCTTCTATAAACTAAGAACAACAGAATTTTCTTTCTTTTTTTGATGGGGGAGGGAAGTGGAATTCCAAATTTTTTTTTCCTTTAAATTCTAATCATTTTATTATGGCATTTTGATAAGTAGTTTGAAATAACTTTTTTAATTTTAGAAAAGATTTCTTGCTTGGGCATTTTCTAGCATTGTTTTTGGATTTCTTCCTAGAAGACTCCTATTACAAGCATGTTGAATATTCTTTGCCTACCTTCTATATCTGTCACTTTCAATTCTTTTCTTTCTTTCTTCTTACTAATATCTTTTTAAAGACTAAAGCAATCACCAACGATTTTTCCTGAACCATTTGATAGCAATTTGCCTCCTTGATGTCTCATCACCCATGAATACTTCAGTGTGTATTTCCTACAGATATTTTCCTATATAACTACAAAACCATCAAAATCAAAGTAACATTAATACTTTACTACCATTTAATGCTCAGAACCCTATGAAGAGCCACCAATAATGTTCTTTATAGCAAAAAGATCCAATTCAAAATCATTTGCTGCATTTAGGTG